TCATCAACACTTGCAGCACGGCAAAGGGCAGCGGAAAGGTTACAAGCGTGAGTTAGTGGAAAGGTCGAGTTAAAGGTCCTGCTTTATTTTTCTTCTCTCCGTCCATCGTGTGCCGGGGTAAGGAGCGCCTCCCAATGAGAGCGAGATCAGCGGGGACAGGCAGAGCAAGAGGGGGAAATGTTTCGTTGACCTTATTTTGATCTCTGCTTCTCAAAGAGGATTAATCCTGCACTAATTGTAATTCAAAGGACGCCAAATTTGATTACAAAAACAGAGACATCAATGGAGCGACTCCTCCCACAGATTCAAAATAATGCCGCCGAGTTCAAGCCACGCTGGCGGAGTCAAACTGTCAAGGATGCGGCGCTGCTTCTGCATTGTGTGATGCAGTATATAATGAAATGGCTTTGACAGGCAGAGGAGTTTTTAAAGTGATGTGGAAATCCAGCCGTGGAGCGGATCACGCAGTCATTATGTGTCTGCGTCGTTCATCTTTGTCTTTCTGTTTGCACCAATGACTGGCTCCACGCTCGCTGCCAGATTTGTCCTTATTTTGTAGCCCTGGAGAAGTCTTGACACATTCCACCATTTTTTTTTAGAAAATAAGACGGAGCTTATATTTTGCCTTTCACACTGTGCAGGGTATAAAAAGAGTAATTTCCTTCAATCTATCAAAGTCTACTTTCGCCTTGAGATTTTCTTTTTCCTCAGCTCTGCCCACAATCGTCTACAGACCGTGTGGAATTACTTTGAATTTATTTTCTGTGTCCATGGACAGTAAGAGCCTTGGTGTGTAAACACTTAGAGGGTGTTAACCTTCACTTTTAATTTGATTTGTACAATCATGTCTTTCTGCACCGAGATCCTCACTGTGTTTATTTACCCTGGAAACTGTTTAGTTGACCCACATATAGACGACTATTGCCCATTTGGTATTAAAGGGTCAGTTCACACAAACCAGGATAGAACAAATGGAGAAATACTGTCCATGTCTGTGGAATCTCTCCTGGTATCTAGTTGTGCCATAGACTGTATATAAAGATGTCCGAACTATCTTGATCTCCCCCTGGTGCACGTGTGTCCGCCTCGGACTCGAACCTCGATGCTGCAGCTCTGCGCCACAGTCACTCCCGCGCAAACTCTGGCTCCAAATTCCATTTAAAGTGCAACATGGCCGCACCCACATCTGGGAAATTGTAGCTTCATGAAGACATGGAGACGCTACATCCATCTCTTTTTATGCGTCTATGAGTCATGCAGATAGTTTCAGATATGTTTGTGCAGGTTCGGAGATATTCATCGCTTGGGATTTTGTATTTTGTGGTCACTGATATTTAGAGAATCAACAGGAAAGAATGCGGCCATATCTTTTGATCGTCCACAGAACAAGATGTTCTCACTGGGTTATAACAGACACAGTATTGTGATGCACATATTCAATACAATCTATGGTAATCTCTGGAACAGAGAAACAGGTCTGCACCACCTTAATGACCATGTTTATTCCTACTTTTACACGATGAGCTTCGGCTGATTCATAGTTGATGTGTTTTACAACCAATAAGTCGGTTTTCTTCATCTTCTGATAAGTTAAACATTTGTTGGTTTGCTTGTTTCTTCCAGAGCTCGTCCGTGTCTCCCTCGGCCAGTTTCCGTTCCGGAGAGAAGCACCGCAGTTCAAGCGATTACTCATCCGACAGCAAGAAGCAGAAGACAGATGACAAGGAGTTGACCTCCACGCGCTACGTTAGTGAAGATGTAGAAAGACAACAATTTCTGAGTTGAAGAAAAGATTGCGACAACATAAAAAAAATGCAGTTTGAAATAAATGAGGTGGTTTAGGTCGAGGCTGGGGTCTCGAGAGAATTGAGGGACAGACAAAAAAACTGATGGACGGACAGAGATCTGGTCTTAGACTTTGTAGAAAATGTAAAAAAAAAAAAAAACGAATGGAAATCGATGAAAGTAGTTTATGGTGCCCTTTGATTACTTTAATTAAATCCTTGATTTTATGATAACCCAATTTCATTATCACCATTATGCATAATTTCATTTAATATCAAATTAATGGGGTGTTGTGTTGTGTCGCACACTGATTATAAGTGTTTTTATCGACAATTAATATAGGCTGATAATTTTGTTTTATCCAAAATGAAACATTATACCAGCGGTTTCTGTATAAACTAGAATATAATGTATTTAGATTTAAAGTAATGGTCACTCATACTCCTTCTCTGTGTCCGTGCCAGGAAAGTGATGGAGAGAAGAGCGATGACAACCTGGTCGTGGACGTCTCCAATGAGGTACAAACAGTTTGACATCTTTTCTGTTACCGGCTCTCAAAGAAATAAATCCATCTTACTCGCTTGTCCTCGTCTCGCTCACCCACCACAGGATCCCGCGTCTCCTCGAGGAAGCCCTGCCCACTCTCCTCGGGAGAACGGGGTGGACAAAAATCGTCTGTTGAAGAAGGATGTTCCCCTGAGTCCCTCCTCCATCGCCTCCTCCAGCAGCACACCGTCATCCAAGTCCAAAGAGATTAACGTGGTGAGTCATGTGGGTTTTTATAGTCTTCTGATTGTTTTCTGTTTTTCATCACATCAATCAAAGGTTTTGTTCCATATTTAGACATTCAGAAATATAATTATACATTATAAGGTAAAGAACAGAATAAAGCTTTGCTGTGTAGGATGGAAAACTCTTGCTGGTCAGGACATGTTCAGTTCAAAGTCTATTAAAAACATCTGGATTTCATTTGAATGGTGACTGTATTACATTTGGACATGGTTGCTTGAAACCTGTAGCTCCTGTAAGAGATACCTGCTGCATCACATTTCTGATTACTTGACTTTGTTGTGTGTGTTGCAGAACGAGAAGTCCACAACTCCTGTGTCCAAGTCCAGCACCCCCACATCACGCTCTGATGCTCCAACACCCAGCAGCGCCTCCACCCCCGGCCTGAGATCTGTACCCGCTAAACCGGCGGGTCTCGAGACACTGGGTGAGGGTTCCATTCACCGCTCTCTGTAACTTTATAAAATGAAAATGCACACATGAATATGACCTGGAATTATGGCATAGTCTGAGTTTAGGCCTTTAAAGCTTTGATGCTAATACGTTTTATATGATAATATAGTAGTAAACGCAGGATATTATATTTTAAAGTAGACAATGTAAAGAAAAAGGCAGATGATATGAAAACACAGAGAAGAAGAGTGAAAATTACTCCTTTTCAAACTCAGACGCCAAATTCTACAACTTTTATCCGACGCCATTTTGTCCCCATAGCTCCCGGTCTTCGTACGCCTCTGGCAGTGCCCTGCTCGTACCCCGGGCCGTTCGGAATGGTTCCTCACCCGGGTATGAACGGAGAGCTGAGCGGGGCGGGAGCGGCGTACCCCGGCCTGCACAACATCTCCCCACAGATGAGCGCGGTGGCGGCCGCTGCGGTGGCAGCCTACGGACGAACACAAGTGGTAACGGAAAACACACAAACACATTCTTTGGAGTTAAAATCACGGCTGCGTGTGATCGGAAGAAAAAAAAAACTGTCCTAATACGGCAAATAAATAGAGAGTAGAATTACTTTATGTGATTGTGTGATGTGCACAGATTAAAAGGAAATATTCCTTAGGACTGTAGGTTTCATATCAACAGCATCACATCCCTGAAGTTATCATTGAAATATGATAAATTGAATGCTACTGTTGTGCACTACATGTAACCTCAATTACATCTCTCAAAACTGTTTATTTATATTTTTATATCGTTTTTATCACAAGATCAATGCCGACAGGATTTGCAGGCTGTCCTCAGTACAGAAGCTGCAAACTTTAGTATTAGTGCATGTTTCATTTTTTAATACATTTTAAATCCAACTTAAACTTGCAGCTTAGAACCGTAACTTAAATTACTTATCATCTCTTTTATATCATTTCAGTTCTAGTATTTTTAGTATTTGTGTGTTGAGTTGGTTTTAAACTTCACCCTCTCATGTTCTGCAGGTGGGATTTGATCCTCACCACCACATACGTGTCCCTGGGCTTCCTCCCAACCTGTCGGGCATTCCTGGTGGAAAACCGTATGCTTCCTCCTCGTTCTCAGCTGTCACCTTTATTTCCTCTCGTTTGCTTTCAAATGTCCCCACGTCTCACCCTCCTTTTTCTTTCTGTCAGGGCCTACTCCTTCCACGTGAGCGCTGACGGACAAATGCAGCCTGTGCCTTTTCCTCCGGACGCACTGATCGGCCCTGGCATCCCGCGCCACGCACGACAGATCAATACTCTCAGCCACGGGGAGGTGGTGTGCGCTGTCACCATCAGTAACCCCACGCGTCACGTCTACACCGGCGGCAAGGGCTGCGTCAAGGTGTGGGACATCAGTCACCCGGGCAACAAGACCCCTGTATCCCAGCTGGATTGCCTTGTGAGTGAGCTACATTGACCCTGACATGCACGACTGATACATGACATGAAATCACATTTTTCATCATAAATGGTGAAAACACAGCACATTCTTCGTTGTTTTACCTGGAATTAGAAATGCATTTATGTATTTTTCACTTTAAACGACAGTAAACTGTACTTGTGTGTGTGTCTGTCACATCAGAACAGAGATAACTACATCCGCTCCTGTCGACTGCTTCCTGACGGGCGGACTCTCATAGTCGGGGGCGAGGCGAGCACTCTGTCAATCTGGGATTTGGCCACCCCAACTCCTCGGATAAAGGCAGAGCTAACGTCGTCAGCGCCCGCGTGTTACGCTCTGGCCATCAGCCCCGACTCCAAGGTCTGCTTCTCCTGCTGCTCCGATGGAAACATAGCGGTGTGGGATCTTCACAACCAGACTCTGGTCAGGTACGGAGCTGTGGGGGGGTGACATGCAACAGTCCCAGAGAATGTACGTCAATGGTTCACAAGTAGAACCCCACTGATAACGATTTTTGGGAGCTCATGCTATTTTGGGTTTGTCTGACTCTATGTTTTTTTCTGCAGGCAGTTCCAGGGCCACACTGATGGGGCCAGTTGTATCGACATCTCTAATGATGGGACCAAACTGTGGACCGGAGGCCTGGACAACACGGTCCGGTCCTGGGACCTGAGAGAGGGACGGCAGCTGCAACAGCATGACTTCACCTCCCAGGTACACACACACACACACACACACACACACACACACACACACACACACAAAGCACATATCATTATTATTGTTGTGGTATTGCTCTATTTTTTTACATCTTATAATACTATTTATATTTTATGAATATATTTTTATTCTTAAACAGCTATAGGTTTTACTTTTATTGTTATGTGATACTTAAATGCAGATTTGATGAAAATTCTGCATCACAGCTATTTGCAGTTTGTGTAATCACACCACTTCAGGCTCTGATTTATTGCAGTCATTTTAAAAACTCAGCTCAGAACACTTAAGCAGCCAGTAAAGGTCAGACTGAGCTCTGTGTTTCTGGCCTGTCCTCAGATACCTTTAACATTAATAGTGCTGGCAGTTGGAATTTACTCTTTTTTTCAGGTGAGGGGGAAGAGCAGCAATAATTGACCATTACCGCAATTTTCCTGAAAAGACCAATTTCACCGTCTCAGTGTGCAGAGGAGGAGGAGGAGGAGGAGGAGGAGGAGGAGGAGGGTGTGCATTTAAAGAGAGCTAAGAGAGGGCTGGACACTCGGGGAGCGACACAAAACCGATAGAATGCTTATGCCTTCCAATGAGATCTGTTCTAAACCCAACTTAAAGGTCACATGGGTTTGGTTAAAGATAAAACTGTTTTGATTTAAATCACGTGAAAGAAATTTGTTCAACAAAGGAAAACTGACAAAATTGTTCTTTGGGTCCTGATGGAAGAATCGTTGCTAACTCAGGATGATTTTAGAAACTGAAAGAATTTTGTTTTGCGACTGAAAATGTTTATGATGGTGCATCGACCAACATTAATAGTTATGTTAAAATCAGTGCACACCCCCACAGATATGTACAATATCCATGAACTAGAGAAGACTATGAAAAAAAGTTTTCCTTATTTACTTAATTTAATGATGATGTGCAGGTCATTACTTTAGATAGAAACAGAAGAGGTAGAGCATCTTTTCAGTTTTTCTGGGTCTGATTATTTTGCACATTAATGAAAGACAAAGGTGAAAATCTGTGATATAACAAAAACAAAATGCAGAAAGACGGAACACAATGTGCATATATGTGCAATAATCTCAGTTTTAACAACATGAAGAGAACCCAGTAGCGTGCATATCTCCGCCAAGGCCTAACAGTCCAAGCTGCACCAAATTAAAAACACTTCCTCTAAATTTGTATTTCTTTTAATCAAGGTCAACAAAATTTTCCCTGGGGATAAAAAAAAGAATAAATAAATCCTGGATCCAGTTTTGTGGAAATCTGTTCTGTTGCTTACAAACAATCATGCAAACCAACGAACAAAGGGACAGGGATGAAAACCTGCTTATCTACCATAACTGTGGGGTTTGCAGATCTTCTCCCTGGGATACTGTCCAACGGGCGAGTGGCTGGCAGTCGGGATGGAGAACAGTAACGTGGAGGTCCTACACGTCACCAAACCTGACAAGTACCAGCTCCACCTGCACGAAAGCTGCGTGCTCTCGCTCAGATTTGCTCACTGCGGTAAGAATCTATTGAGGTATCGTTTGATATGCTTACAAGAAGGAAGTGGATTTTTGTTTTCTTGATGTGTCCTAATCCTCTGCAGGGAAGTGGTTTGTGAGCACAGGAAAAGACAATCTGCTCAACGCTTGGAGAACTCCATACGGTGCCAGCATATTCCAGGTAAGTGTGAAAGAACATAAACCTGTCCGTCACACAGTCATCCTTTATCGCTCTTGTGGTAAGCACATTTTCTACCCTTTCACTCGTCTTTTATTGCTCTTACAGTCGAAGGAGTCGTCCTCTGTGCTGAGCTGCGACATCTCCATAGACGATAAGTACATTGTGACGGGCTCAGGAGATAAGAAAGCGACAGTCTACGAGGTCATCTACTGAGAGGGCTGCGGCCATCTAACAACAAGGCCGTCCTTCCATCCAGACAGTCTGCGATGTCTCCTTCACCGGTGTAAATTTTTTAAAATGTGTATAAAATGGATTTGAATGGAACAAAAAAGTATTTCTTGGACCGTGACCTTTTGACCTCCTGGCAGGGTCGCGGATCAAAACGAACAAGCAGAACCAAGCACAGAGATGTTTTTAAAAAGTGTCTTTTTGCTGCTGTGAGAACGAGTGAATGTCCATGTGCACTAAATCTGGATCATATAAATGCATTTATTGTTGTAACAGGATTTTGCGAGATAACATTCCTTTATGTCCCATTTTTATGTATGAGTACAACATGAACACAAGCAGTTGTGACTCATGCAGTATTTTGCCTGTGTCTTACGCTTAGTCTCAAAAAGTTAAGTTGCGGAACCATTCCAGACTCCAGAATATCTCGTCCACAGAGAACTTCTGATTCTGCACCTTCACCACTTTCTATTGACGGGATTACAATAGCATTCATGTAGAAATTAATAGCACAAATTTCCCAAAACCTTTGCTCTGCTTGATTTCATGTTGCACACGTGAGGCGTTCATTTTTGAAGATGTTCCAAAGACACAAGCGTTTTGGAGCTAAACTAAAACTGGACAAGAAACATTAATGGTTCGATTTTAACGTTAAATGTTTGTGTCTGTTGCCTCTGACATTTATTTGCTGCCTGTGTTTCTTACATGTTTTTATTTATTTATTGTGTGTGTGTTGTGTGCGTGTGTGTGTTTCGACCCTTTGGGTATTTGCCCTCGGTGCCCTCACCACAGACTGACCTTTGCACTTGGTTCTGCTCCTGAACTTCAGCCTCCTCTGGCTTCTCTGTGGATTCTGTCCGACAGATTTCAGTGAAACCGTTTGGCGTCGGGGGGTCGAGCGGCCGTTTCCTGCCCCAGGTTTTCTGTCAAGACTTTTGAACATTTGTTTAAAAAGCAAGTGATCAACAATATGGTTGTGATTATTCTTCTGTCAGCTTGTAGAAATAACACAGTGCCTTTATATGCTTCTGACTCCATTTTGTCCTGCTGAGTGTTCACCTACACAAAGAGCTGGAACATGATGGACTCTGCTTGAGTGGTTTTTAACAATTCTTGTTATAGAGTCAACAAAATGATCATTGATCAGTAAAGAAACAAACCTTGATGATCCAGTTAGGACCTGTCGTCCTTTTGGAAATAACCAGGACCAACTTCTTTTTAGCCGTGTCCCAATTCAGTGGCTGCATCCTTTGGAGGACTTGGTCTACATGGTCTGCGGAAGGCGTGACCTTCCTAATATGCAATGGTTAAACCGATATAAGATGGTGTGGTCGATGAAGGATTTTCTATTGCATCACCAACTCATCCCGCCCTTACCTTTGCATTGGTAACTACTCTTCTCCTCTGCACTCGCTGCAGCTCGGCCACCCACATCGCTTGCCAGCTAGCTACACCACTGCCAAGCATTTGAGGTTGTACCCTCCAATTGGATCCTTTGTTGCTGTGGAATTGAAAAATACCTTGGTCACGTTTGAAGGAGTCTCTCAGATGGGACAGCCTTACCCCAATTGTGCCGCTGTAACAAAATTGCTCTTCAAATGCATCTTCCGAAGGATGCGGCCCCCAAATTGGGACACAGCTTTTCTTGTCTCTCCTGCTGTGCTGAACACATGCGTGTGAAATACAGTATTCATGACCACTGGTGTGTCAGTCTGATTGTTTGAAGCATGGTGCTGTTAACCGGACGTTTTTGGTTATTTAATTTGTTTTGTTATTGCTCTACTTTTTACTTGTTTCTGCTGCATCTGTGTTGCACAGCAAAACACTTTGATTAAAAAAACTGTATATCCAACAACACAGTACATCAGCAGTTTTTAGGATCTTAATCAAATTCATAACCACCCAAGAACTAATACCTTCAATGTTAACTTAACCAGCAAATTTTCTCACTAAACAGAAGTATCTCAAGGCCCAATCTTAAAGTCTTATATTCAAATATGTGCCTAAACTCAACCTCCTGGTTTAGGCACCAGAAGCTTTTGGGATTTATTTGTTGGAAATGTACAGACTGACGTGATGCGTCAAGTGATCAGATTTAACTTCCATTTTTAGGCCCATTGCAAAACAAGATCAAATTAAGAAACACATTCATCTACAGGACAAGGTTTCCAGAGGATCGAGTGTCCACAGGAATACATTTGAAAATATTAGAGTGTATCTGATGTACTGCAACATTTTATTGTCATTGTAACAACATCTGTCTTAGAAAAGGTAAATATGATGACAACCATGACCAAAAAAAAAATCGTTCTCATTGCTAATCTTCCTGAGACGTACATATCTCACTTATTTTACATGAATATAAATATGGTTGGAATAAATCAACCTGAGTGCATCTTAAAGCTCATCACAGAAAACCAATGTACATCAGATCAGATGTTAAGTCTTTGTACTTTTATTGCACTAGAAACAAGAAAGTTGTTTGTTCATCCTTTTGTTAAAATGTCTTCACAGTATTGTTTGTTGCAGTTGTGACACAGACATAATCTGCACTGAAGTTTTATGGGACATCACACATACAGTATGTACAAATATGCACAGTATGCCACATGATTCAAAAAAGTACTGATAGTTACTGCACTGGTGTAAATGTACATTTTACAGTGTAGTCTAATGGCGTTTGCTTCATGAGAGACCGTATGAAAGATAATTCACTGTTATAACTGACATTTTTGCGATTGTTTTTCAGACAGAAACTGTAAATTCAAAAGATTGCTTGTGATAGTTGTTTCTTGGCCTTATGATGTTCTTTCTTTCTTTCATTCCTGAAACACTTCTTCAGTTTTTCCAAAGTCAGCTAAGTTTTAAAATTAAAACAACAATTCATTCCCTTCTCTGTCAAAGACTTCTGGTCATAACATCTGGAGCCACCTTCATGTACTGTATCTAACGCTCTAAAACGTTTGTCCCCATTAATGATATAAAAATATAAAAAATGGATTTTGGTTGTACTCATTCGAACCTGAATGTTACTCGTCGTCATCTGATCGTTAGCTGGCTAACACGACCTGTCACAGAGAACATATGAATAATGTTGTGTTGAGCGTTTAGCTTGACGGGACTCATGAAGGTTATAAATATACTGTAAACATGTAATAATTCAAGCTTACGGTGAAACTTCCTGTTGCTAGTTGAGTTTTTTTTCTTCAATTACAAAATGCCTTTGCTCTCTTTTTTCTAGTCTGTGGTTGAATAAATTATTGTGTGGACTATTTTGGCTGAGCGTCGTTCTCTGTTAAACCCATAGATGGTAAATATTGAGTATATATTAAAATTTTTGGGTTATTTTGATTGATTTTGTCCTTTTGACATCTGCTGCTGTAACAAGTGGATTTCCTCAGCGTGTTGTATCATAATGTATTGAATCTAATCAAATTTGATTCAATCATATTGTATCGAATCGTACGTATTGTATTGAATCATATCAAATTGCATCGTATTGTAGCTTCGCACACTTTGTTTTGAGCTCACTCGGTTGCATTTATAATCCTCCTCCAGAGCCACTGCCTCTAGAGCAGTGAATTAAGTAAGAGCCAGTCCGGCAGTGAACTGATGTTAGTGGAGTACAGCACATGATTCTGTAAAGTGGCACTTAGCAAACATTATGCTAGCCGGCAGTCAGGAAGTTAACATGGTCGTTAAGGGTGTTGGAGGATGATGAATCTGACAGCAGAGGTCGTAAATGTTTAAATGTGAAGAAAATCAGCTGCATCAGCACCATGATTCAACACGTGCACGTTGACGCCTTCTCGCCATTGTGTGGCCTGTTTGTTTAATCCAACTTCTCTGTCTGTCAGGAAAGTGGGCAATTTGCAAGCTGCAAGGGCTCTCGATACGAAAACGCTGAAGTAGGGTGGCTCGTTCCCACGTTGCATCCCCACCTTTCCTCCTTCTCTCCCTCTTTGGGCTGTTTGAAGTGCCGGTTGGAGAGCTGCAGCAGGAGTAGCTATCATTCACTGTAATGGTGGAGCGTCCTCCTCCACAGCCCTCACTTAGATCACTTAATCCACTTCAACCGTCCAGCGCTGTGCTCGGCGTGAACACAGCACGTTCACAATGGGTGGTTAGACAGACTAGCGCTGACCTGTCAGCTTGCACTAAAAACACTTAAACCCTTGTTTCACACAGCTCATTTAATATGGATGTGGAGTTACGGCTGCTGCTGTGAGTCACAATCCAGAGCTTTTTTTGGCATGAAAGTTTGTCACGCCACACTTCAACGCAGACAATTTATTGTGACAATTACTGTCATAGTCAGGTTGTTCATATCATCCACCACTGATTCTACTCACTGTATTTAATGGCTGTGAAGGGTTTTTAAGGTTTGGGTGTTTATCAGAGTGGTGATGTCGACAAAAATGACAAAGGGTGTACCGGCGGAAATGCCAGAGTTATTACAGAATTGAAGGACAGGAGAAAGAAAAACAGAACAAGAGAAAGAAATGGAGGTAGAAAGAAAGAAAGAGAGGTAGTTGGGTGGATGAATGGATGGATGGATGGAAATGCCAGACTAGTTATAGAATTAAAAAAAGAGGAAGAAAGAATGGGAGAAAGGAGGGGAGGAAGAAAGAAAGAAAGGTAGGTAGATAGGTGGGTGGGTGGATGAATGGATTGATGGATGAATGGATGGATGGATGGATGGATGGATGGATGGATGGACGACAATGTGGATACTGTGGAAACCCATGCATCAAGTCAGAAAGAAAGAGCTACACTAGATTTTGTCATAAGCCGTGAGCAGAGAAGTAAACAAAGCAGAAGACAAACAATCTGTTTTTGCTGTGTTGGGTCTCGAACAGAAATAAAGACTCTTAAAGAAGCAGAGCTGAAAACACGGACTCTTCGTGCAGAATCATTCGGTGGGTGACTCTTTCCAAAGGACTGGAGAAGCAGTGACATTCGATTGTCAAGGAAACCATTAGAATATTAACGATGGCACGCAAAGAAAAGGCGAGGGTTGACAACTAGTCGAGAGGTTTGTAAATGTGGGAATTGTGGAATGAAATATGCAGCGAGGCCAAGGTGGTCGGGTCAAGTGTTCTGTCATTAACATTTAAAACATTTAATGTGTTGCCGAGAGGAATAAAGCTTGTTGTCACAGACTGTGGGTTAAGCTGTGTCACAAGTCCCTCAGAGCCACACTCCACTTTTCATTTCTGCTATTTATGATCAAATGTCACGGATACTCAAAGATACAGAGAATACTTGATTTTTCACTCTGTTACACTGCGGATGAGAAACAAGGCCATTTTCTTCAGCTGTGCTAGCAAAGATCAATTGAAAGATACTTTCACAAAATGTCTCTCAGCTCCAGCTGCTTGTCCCACAGACAGAAGTGTCCTCAACATCTGGACACAGACTCATTGATGCAGGACGGTCACGTTTCTCTAACAGCTTATACAAATGCAATTGGCTGTTTGTTCATAACAAACACTAGATCATGAAAATGTGATCATAAAGATGGACGACATGGCAGCCCCCCAAAAGTGAAACCAGCATCTTGATCGCCACCTGGTGGCTGGTCTGCAGTATGAGGCATAAATCCCACCGTTGCCATGTTAATGGATGAGACATGGCAGGGATATTTCAACTGTCGAAGATTCTCTGTAAAGTAGCTTCCTTTGTTTTATCTAACCATGTTTCCTGATTTGACCTAATTTTAGTTTTATTATTGGGAGGTTGTGCTTAAATTTCTGTTTGGTGTTTTTATTCATTCATTTACTCTTTTTTTTCCTATGTTTTATGTATTTGTTGTGTTGTATGTTTGTATTTTTACTTTTTTTAAATAAATACATTATGACCAAATTAAAATGTCAAAGAACATGTTTAATAATGCTTTATTATATTTCGGGGAGTTCCTATGTATTAGCTTTGAAGCTCATAGCATTCATTGATGATCTTGCACTGCGTTTAAACTCAGATCTGTCCCTGTCATATATGACTTCACTAATTTTCACCTGCTCCCAGTTTTCACCGCTCCAGTCCCCTCCCATGAGTGAAGAGAAGCTGGATAATGGTGATAATGGTGAATAGGGAGAATATCAATCAGCTCATCTGGTGAAGTAAATTTCATGATGATCCTGTAAAGAGATGAAAGATTTGTAAGGAGCTTTACACATTTGTACAATTCAAAGGGACTTTCTTTTCCTCTGTCCCAACAACCAAAGCTACTCAAAATTTCCTGTCCTCTCACAGGAAGGACTGATGATTAAATCATGTCTCCGCCGTCTTAACAAGGTTGGGACTGTTGGGGTGGGAGTGGGGTGGGGGCTCATTCTGCAGCACTTTGATATCCTGCATTCAACGCTGTGTCTCATATTAATGACTTCTTTGAGCTGTGAAACAAGTATTATCATCTCTTTCCAAAAAGGGAAGGATGAGAGGTTTCAGCTCAGCTCGTTTGGAGACAAGGGAGGAAAGTGTGTATGTGTGTGTGGGTACTCGTACTTAATGACCCTAACCCTACATATGTGAGGACCATTTAGGGGATCAACCTTTTAAAGGTTTGTTTGAGGGTTAAAGGCTCAGTGTGTAAAATATAGTGACACCTAGTGGTGAAGTTGCATGTTGCAGCTGAATACCTCCCGTTCCAAACATGAAAGAGAACCTATGGTAAAGGTGTTTAGTTTTAGCCAGGCTCCGTAGAGAGGAACCACTCCAGAGGTAAATATAAAGTATTTAAATATAAAGTGTAAAGAAAACAACAATTCATACAATTTAGATGAAACACACTCGTGAAAACATCACTGTGATATGTTATAGTTAATTGCTGCCAATGAATCCCTTTCACATAAATCTAACACACTTAGGTTCGACATTCAGTTGTGATGGTTAAGGTAACAGATGAAGTCACACACACATATAGAACCTTTGCCTGATCCTATATACCTTGTTCTTTCTTTTTCATCCAACCCATATGTGCTTCAACCACTTTCCTGCACTCAACTCCCAGTCATCAAAATATTTTATTCAATATCATTTTTCCTCTTTTTTTTTTTACTTATAAGAGGCTTTTCATGCTTCTACATCTATTCTGTCACTTCACCGTGCGGCAGCGAGAATAGTTCACTGGTCACGGCAAAGTAGAGGGAACTGGATGAGTGAGAGGGTGTAAGTTCACACACAGAGTGGAGGATTGTATATTTCCTAAGAAAACAGGAGCAGCCATCTGAGTGGAGGTCATGGACATTTCGATGCATGCTGTTAGAATAGGTGGAAGCGTTGGAGGAGAATGGCCTCTCCAAACTAAATGAACTAAAAGCTCTTGGTTTGAATGCTCTTCAGCCAATACTCTGGCAAATGTACTCTGCCTTGAATAAGGCACGCGGGTCAGAAGGGATGTTTTTTTGAAGCTTTTAGCCTAACTCTGATCCCCACTTAAAACCAACTTTAGTTCCCATTTCTAAGTGAGACCAGGCCTTTTGTCTGCATCAGTTTCAGCTGCAGTTTAAAGTGTTTCTATTTCTCTGGGCTTTTTAATCGACTGGAAAAGCCCAAACTGAAAAATATCAGTCAAAACCTCACAACATGCAGGAGAGTGAAGGATGCTCAAACTTTAATCTATTATAATTTAAATTAAAACACAACTGAAGAGAATCTCAGTGCCTTATACAAATGGCAAATACAGTCTTGCAACTTTCAACACTCGTCCTTGCGCTCTAGCCAGAGGTTTGGCGTTTCGATTCCCCCTTCCGCATGCAGAAGTGTCCTTGGGCAAGATACCAAACCCCAAAATGATCCCTTCACTGCAAGGTGAATGGGTGAATGGCAAAAACACTACTGCAAAGTTTAAACTTTAACTTATGAAGACTTACACACACACACACACACACACACACACACACACACGAACACACACACTGATTTTAAGATTGTAATGCTTTTAAATTCCACATGGTGGCAGCTTCCATGTGCATGTTTTTGTACTTGGTATCTTTGCTGTCCAATTTCATTAATAACACTTGAATGCAGATAAATAAAAAAGTTGCTACTACAACCACTGGTACTTCCACTACCAATACTACTATTAATATTAATAATAATAATAATGTTATAGGCCTTTAATTCCCACCTCGCAGGATGTATAGTTGGGTGTAGTTTTTAAACAGCAGACTTTATCTGAACAGCAGGTGGCGACATAGAGCAACATTTACACTAACCATAGAAGAAGAGCACTGCTGGGTTAGCCACCA